TACACTGGAAGTGTTAGAAAAAAATATAAGCATTTCAGAATTCTCATCAATTTGTTCCTTTCGATCTTTCATATTGAAATATTTCTTTCATTTTATTTCATTTTTTTTACGAATCCCCTACAAACAGTACTTTATCACATATCCAAGCTATACTCCAGTTTGCAGTTAACAAATCTGTAACAGATCATCGCATGTAACAGTGTAACAGTTCATGGGGTTAAAACAAACATCAGAACTCAAGCAAGTGGAAAATTCACAAAAAACAAGAACAGCTAGATCAGTCATCCCATTCATCGTCATCATCATCGTCATCCCCACCGTCATCTTCACTTTCATCTGAAAGACAGAACAAATATAAAGTGTTTGTAGCTCTGATGGTTTAACTCATGCATGCATACACTCACGCACCACTTTATTAGGTACACCTAGCTCGCACTGGTTTGGACCCCCTTTTTCCTTCAGAACTGCTTTAGTTTTTCAGCAAGTTACTGGAAAGATTTCACAGAGATTTTGATCCATATTTGCATGATAGCATCATACAGTTCCTGCAGATTTGTCAGCTTCACATCCATGACGCAAATCTCCTGTTCCACCACATTACAAAGGTGAGCTATTGGAATGAGATCAGAGCTTGGGAAGTGACGCCTAGTGTGGTCTTCTGCTGCTGCAGCTCATCTTCTTCAAGATTGGAGTTTGGATGTGTTCAGAGATGCTCCTACCTTGATTGCAGCTAGTGAGTATTTCTGTTACTGCTGCCTTCCTAACAGCTCAAAGCAGTCTGGCCATTCTCCTCTAACTTTAACGAGACATGTTTGCCCCAGAGGTTTGCTCCTGCTACCCAGCAGTTCATCCAAATAACTTCCTGATATTTTCTTTCTCAGACGATTGTACGTGAACCAGAGATGATTGTGCAGGAAAACATCAGTATATCAGCGGTTTATGCAACACTCTGACCAGCCCATTCGGCACCAACACCAAAACATGTCATATCCGCTTACTTAAATCACCTTTCTTCATTATCCTGATGCTCAGTTTGAGCTTCAGTAGGTGGTCTTGCCTACATCTACATGCCTAAATGTACTGATTTAGTGCTATGAGATTGGATGATTAGATATTTGCATTAATAAGCAGCTGAACAGGTGTACCTAATAAAGAGACCAGAGTGTACATAAAAAGATGTTACTGGTAGTGTAATATTTACCAGAGGAATGGATGACTTTGCTTCTCTTCTGCATGACCATCATGAGAGCACCGACAATGCCTTCACCTGACTCTGCTGATGCAGGTGGAGCTGGATTAGGGTCGTCTGTTACCTGTAATACACAACACCACAGGAGGACAAAATGTAAACGTCAGTACGCTCTACAAATATCTCGGCATGTTGCAGCATGAAAATCAAGACGTTTGACTTATGTAACAGATGTTCTTGAGAAAGCCGAGTTTCTTTACATTTCTCAGTTTTTTCCCGAGTCGGATCTGATCCAGCAAAGCTCCTCTGCTGTCTCCTCCACCAACGGAAGCGGAAGTAGGTCGTGGTGCACCGCCAGATATGGGAGGAGGAGGAGGGAAATCTGAAGAAACTGAAGTTTGGGGAGGTGGTGGTGGTGGTGGTGGAGGAGGAGGAGGTGGGCCCCCTCCCCTCCTCCTCCTCCTCCTCCTCCACCACCAACCCCTCTGCTGGGTGTAGACGGGACAGGAGGAGGTGGAAAACCTGCGGAGCGCTGGCTTGGTGGTGGAGGAGGAGGAGCGCCGTGGGAAGACATGGGAGGTGGGGCATGAGGAGACCTTGAAGATGGAGGAGGTGGAGCATGTGATGGCGGGGGTGGCGGAGGGCCGCTTCGGCTTGATGGAGGAGGGGGTGGTAAAGATCCACGAGAAGGAGGTGGCTGGGGAGGCGGGCCTGCTCGCTGTGAATGACCTGGAATGGGAGGCAGGGGGCCAGAACGGCCTCGCTGGGGTGGAGGGGTTGGAGCAGAGGGGCTAGAGCCTGGTAGCGGAGGGAGGGGCCCCTGTCTGCCAGGTGGAGGAGGTGGAGGTCCTGTAGCTACAATTGAGTGGAAGAAGGTATAAACATATATTACAACTCATCCACGGTTTAACAACGAGATCAGCCTGTTTGGAACAGTGAGATAGTTAACTGAGTCAAAAACGAGGCAGTGAGAGTCTAACCTGATCTGTTCACCTCCCTTTTGACTGCCTCCATCCCTCCTGACTGTTCAATTACATTATAGATGAGCTGAGAGGTTCTTTCATCCCTCATTTCAGCTTCACTAATGCCAGCTTGAGACAGCAGCCGCATCAGGTCAGGGTCCAGGTTGTTAGGGTCCCACCCCACATGACTTACATGCCTGACGGAAGGAAAGAAGAAGGAAACAGTTTATTGAAGTTAAATTTAAACAACAAAATATGAACATTGCTCTAAAACCTCTGATAAAACTTCATTTTCAGCGAGTCATACACTTACTTAAATCCACTAGGTGCTCCTATGTCTGCTTTGGAGAGCTTGGGGCCTTTTTTCTGCTTCTTCTTCTTGTCCTTCTTTCCTTTGCCTGTCGCAGCAGAGGCAGCAGCAGGTGTAGGCACCGAGCGATAGCGTGAAGACTGGATATCTGGGTTTTGAATGTCCACTGTGGCCATGTGAAAAGAAGGAGGGCCACTAGGTCCTGTTTTTGGAAGACGTCCAGATTAGCACACTGGTTAATATGTTCCTAGTATGTTTCATTTTATGTATCAATAGTAAAAGGTACACAGCAAAGACAGCAGTTGCACACCTTTTTCAGGTGGGAGTGGAGGCAGGGAACTTCTGTCTGCAGTGAAAGAAAACAGAAAATTATATGTAGCACTACAGTTTGCCACGTTTACACAGCATACTGTTTTGAAGTTTTTGCCATCTTACCACTAGTGTGCGGGGGGCGCTGTTTCTTATCTGTGAGAGAGGTGAGAGAAACCATTTTGCATAAACCCCACACACAGCCGTTGAAACAAATGAACGACTTGTTGTTTCATATATAACCACGTATCAGCCTGGAAGCGATTTTTTTCTAAGAGTACTAGAATAGGGTACTTGATAAAAATAAAAATAAAAACTTCCTCATTTAGTGTGATTTTAATGTTTGTTTGTTTTTCCCCCACAGTGCTTTCTCAAACATATATATTAATCTCAAACCATCTATACACAAATAAATTGTGAGTAAGTGGTAACCATAATATTTCAAATGTATTCTTTGCTTTCCCATTCTAAAATGAGACATCAAAGCAGTGAAAGGCTGTGGCCTCACTGACCTTGACGGGTGTTTCTTTGGTTGATTTTTTCCTGAACAGCAGTTTGGAATATGTCTGCTTCCTGCAGATCACAGAAGTTCAGTCCGACCTGGCAGTCCTACAGTGTATAACAAACGCACACAGAATCAAGATTGATGATTTTTGACCCATAGTGATGATTACACCAGAAGTAATTGCACCACATCACATCATAATTACAGCTTTAAGATGAGCTAAAACAAGGGGTGTGCTTACATCAGCAGGAAAGGTATGAAAGAATGGCTTTGGGGCTGAGTACACAATTTGGTTGTAGAGCTCCTGCTCCCAAACCACACTCCCGACCTGTAAAAAGAGTGAATTAATATGTCGGTCTTGTGAGATTAGAAACTTAATCTAAGCTATCTAATACGGGACCCATTATGTAGGGGGTTACCTTTAAATCAAACATCCGTATGAAATAGGAGCGCTGAGGGTTGTCTTTGACGAAACAGGCCACCCCAGTGTGCTGCAAGCTCCACATGGATGAACTGTTAGGTAGAGCCATGAACAGCTGTGCGACTGCGGTGGCCATGGACTGAACACATAGACAAAACAGACAATGAAAAGAGCTCAGAGCTGATAGGAAACTTGAGAGCTCTTTATTACAGTTCATATGTAAATTTGCAGCTTTGCAGTGAGAATAAACTTCCTCATCTGCTTTCATTTGTTCAGATAAGGCTTAAAGTTTGTGATGCTCCTAGTTTTTCAATGCAGCCTTCTACGTAATTAAAATGTGTAGCTTGTGCACATCTAGTGTTTTGTTATTATGGCGGGGTCACAACTGTAAACGCTATTGTTTACCTCAGAGGCCAAAAGCAAGAACTGAACAAGGCCAAAGCTGAGCATAGTGACTAATTCTGACAGCAGAGGAAGAATTGGTTCAGCCACCATTTCCTGTTACAGCTACCTACTTTTTGATGACCTAATGTCAGCAAATAATGCTTGAATTCACAAAAACTATCAATAGATTTCAAAAATATAGAGTAAAATAAGACAGGCCTTCAAATGGACCAAAAATAAAGCGACTAAAAGCATTAAGAAAATAATCTGCCAAAAGAGAGTTGAGAAAATGATGGTACAACAATGCTGTGTTAAAAGTATAACAGTCCCCAACCCATTGTTAAACTGTGCATCAATTAGAATGATGTGTACTCCAGTGTACGCCGCCTTCTTTTAAGGTAAATGCTTTTAACGAAAAGGATACAAGTCAAGACAGATAAAGCAGAGCGACATTCTTTCAGTTGGTAATCCCCTCCCGGGTCAGCTAAGAACTTACAGCACACCTTCTGCCCAGCAGCTCCTCCAGCTTGTCATTCTCCTGTGAGCTCAGCAGAAAGCTTTGAGTGCTCTCTGTTTTAGTTTTAGATCCACGACTCATAGTCCTGTGATAAAACCAGTTATCCTAAACTACTGTATGCACGGCATTTGAACAAGCGCCCTTGCAACAGAATACTCTCTATAGTTAGCTCTACAGTCAAGGAAGTTTCTCTTCTCCCTTCTTTGCACACATCAACTCAAAGCCGGAAATGAACGACCACATTTTTTCTTCTCTCGCTCAGACCCAGAGCACAAACGTGTTACTTCCATTTTCAGAAGGAGGAAGTGCAATGTTATATCTCTCCTCCTCAAGTAACGTTCTTTTAGATACGCTGAGTTTATGCGACCTCTTATACACATTTTTAAAAAAAGAGACGATTATGTACAAATAAAACACATTTTATTGACAGTTAACAACATTCAAATTAATTTAAAAATGTACAGGATGAATTACAATGTTAACAGGTCTCTTAGTCACATTTTAAAAACAAAAAAAGGACTTCACTAATTCTTGCTTAAAGAGGACCCACTGTGCTTCGTATTTTGAGTATTTCAGTCTATTAGAACAGCTTTGCATGCTTCATTTGAAATAATGCTTAGTGGACTTTACTGCAAGCCCTCAGATGGTCCAGAGCACCCAAAGTCCTTTCAACAGACTTCTTTCTGACCAACTGTCCTTTGCAAACAGAGGTTTTGAACAGCAGATGGTTCAAACAGCAAATAAAGATCTTATGCAGCAGCAGCTAAAAACTGTCACAAATAAGGAAATGAGCATTTAGAGCAGTCTGAAGTCTGAGCTTTCTGCTCTCAGGATTACTTGGACTTGCTAACCTCAGTACTTCAAACTTGTTTAAGATGAGCACACCCCTTGTAAGAGTTATGTATATGACTGAGATAAAAACAGTGAAAGCATAACAGGTCCACTTTGAAGCCATTATTGAACACAATGAAAAGTTTCTGGTACTGATTAAACATACGCAGCATTTATAACACTGGATGAATTCATGTACAACTTTAACTGGTCTTTGCCAAGCATGTTAAAAAAAAGAAAGAAAAAGAAACACTTTCACAATGTGACATAATAAATAGATTCTTTGGTTTTCAATTATGGATGTTCAGGCTCACATAAAAACTTTGTTTCGGTTTTCACAAACCTCTCACACATGACTGTCTGTTTGACCTTCATGAACAGCAGCAAAAAACAAAAAAAGAAATCCCATAAATTGCACCGTATTTTGCCAGGTCACTGGGAAACTTCACGATGACCATAATTGTGACAGTAATTTTTTTTTAAATGGATGAAATATCACATTAAACGCATTGATTAGAATCCATGTTAAATTCACTGAAAACATTTTTGATCATAAGCAGTTGTTTGTGTGGAACTGCAGACTAACCCTCGAAGGCCATAATTAGCTGAAACGGTAAAGTTTGGGGAAATGGCAGATTTGTCAGTCATAAAAGTAAAAGTAAACCATAGCTGACAAATGTCTCAGGCAAAGAAAATATTGCCTTACAAAACTAATACATGTAAGTTCTGTAAAATCTGACATGGTAGGGAAGTAGATTTGTGAAATGTAGACATTGACTGAGCAATTCCAAGGAACTGTCCACATCCAAAAACGGAATTTCCACTTTTTTTCTCATTCAAAGCATTTGCTGCAAATCTATATATGACCCCAAACAAAATCCTTAGTTTGAGCTGTGACAGGACTGATCGAGGCAGAACACTTTGCTTTGTATTTTCATACATTTGTGTTCTCTCCTCCGGTACAGGACATATCGCCTGCTCCATCACATGTAAAAACACTTTCCTGTTTTTTTTGATGTAGGCGAAGGCTCTTCACGTTATCCTTCATCTTGTGTAGTCAAACTTTCTAGTTTGGCTTTGGATGAGAAGATGGGGCTAATTTAATGAAAAAGAGGGCTTTGGTTGACGTTCTGTGTGCAGTACCTCTGTTCAGTTATAGCAGCTAGTGCCCACCTACACTTTGACTCTCTCCAGTCACCCAGTCAATGATAATAAATGACAAACTCATGACCATGAAGACAAATCCCAATGCAGCGAAGCATATGGCCTGCAGTAATAAAGGATAAGAAAACAACATGTGTATTAAGAACAGATAAAAGCTAATATATGGAGATTAACATGACCAAGAACAGTTAATACCATCTTTGATAGAGGAAGGATATACCTGAATCTTAGATCTTGACCGCAGGGGTTCCTGGTCTTCAGGAACAATTCGGATATAGAAAATTGCGGGTAGGATGAAAATGAGGCTGGGGGCAGATGTGGCTCCTGTAGATGATAGCACAGAATAAATAAGTGAGTTTATTTATTACACAGCAAAATCTCCAGTGTTAAATTAACACTAGAGAGTGTCTATATGGGTCCACACCTCTGAGTGTTAAATACAACACTGTTTTAAATTAACACTTTTGACAGTGTTATATGTTTAAAAGTAACCTAGTCAGTTTTGAAGATTAACAAAAACTAACACTCAGCAGTGCTGATTTTCTAACACTGGAATATTTCTAACATTTTGAGTTATTTTCCAGTGTTAGAAAATCAGCACTGCTCAGTGTTAGTCTTTGTTAATCTTCAAAACTGACTAGGTTACTTTTAAACATATAACACTGTCAAAAGTGTTAATTTAACACTCAACAGTGTTGTATTTAACACTCAGAGGTGTGGACCCATATAGACACTCTCCAGTGTTAATGTAACACTGGAGATTTTGCTGTGTAGAAATAATTCATAGCATGATTTACAGATGATCTAGTCAGTATAGTAAAAATATTTTACTAAACCTTTTTATACTCAACCATAAAACACATTTTTGTTCATAAAACAGCCAAGAATAAAAGGAAAATGACATCTGTTACAGTTATATGAAAAAGTCAGTTTGAATGTAGACTATGAAGTCCTGTAAAAAAAAATTATACTCTATGTACACTATGTTGTTTAATTTCACTGAGGTTAGTAGGCATTTATTTATGCATCCATATTTTAGATGGGTTGAGGTCTGCATTTTGACTGGGCCATTTTAGTTATTTCGGCTGTAGATTTCCTGGTGTGTTTGGAATCACTGTCGTGTTGCATGAGCCAATTTTGGCCAAGCCTTATTTGTCAGACAGATGGCCTCATATTTGATTCCAGAATTCTCTGGCATACAGAGAAGTTCATGGTTGGCTCAGTGACTGGAAGGTGCACAGGTCCTATGGCTGCAAGCCCAAATCATCACCCCTCCACCACCATGCTTGATAGTTGGTATGAGGTATTTGTGCTAATATGCTGTGTTTTTTTTTGTTTTTCAAATACGGCACTGTGCATTATGGCCAGATAGCTCCATTTTAATCTCATCCATCCAAAGGACATTGTTCCAGGAGTCATTTGTTCCGACGCATGTCATGTTGTTATGTTCTTTAGAAAGAAGAAGCTTTCTTCTCGCAATTCTTCCAAATGATCCATATATACATATTTTTTCTATTTGTACTATCATGAACTTAGAGATTTATGATTTTAACCGAAGCTTGTAAAAAAATCCCATATAGAGTCAAGAATAGCCCCAATTTCGGAACTGAGCAGCTGCATTTTTGCTGTGTAAACATACCAATAATGCCAAAGATGTCACGGATGGAGGGCACCAGGATAACAAGAAGATTGACCACGACCAGGAGACAAAAGGCAATGCCAATGTGTCTAACCCAGTGGAAAGGCTTGTCAGCGAAGAAGATCTGAAGCACGGCCTTGCGGATCTGCAGACAGTAAGAAAATGAAGAATAAGATCAGATGACAAATATTAAGACTGATAATCTTTTAAACCTGATTTAGGTTCATTGCTTTAAGTAGTATTAAATGAACAGCTATTAAGAAGCTGTTGGGTAAAGTCAACTTTATCCAAATCTTTTAATGGGTGTTTTCTCACATTTGCTAAAAAAATAGTTTATTATGTTGAAAATCGAGACCTTAACATAGTTTAAAGTTTCAGGTTAAAGAGGGACATTCAGAAGCATTTTTCTACCTCTTTAACAAATAGTTAAAGGGTGGGTGAAATATGCTCAGCTGGATACTACTTTCATATTTGTATATTTAGTATTAAGCTAGCTTAACCTTTAAACTAGAACCAGCTAGCATGTTTTTGTGAAAAAACTTGGCATTACCTTTAGAGCTCACAACAAAAGCAGGCTCGTTGGTCACAGTAGTTCCCTGTTTAAACCACAACTTATCATTTCTGCAGTATGGTTTTTACGTAGTTAAGAAATAATAATACAACGTGTTAACTAGCAAGCTGTAGCTGTACAGTAGCTGATCCTGGTCACAATCCTTAAGCAAAGGCTTCAAAGATGTCACCCTCCCTTCATTTAGCTCGCTACTATGTCAGTCTCTATAATTTAACTCTAAAGGGCTTAGACTGCGCATTCTTAAAATTCCTACTAAAATGTTTTATTCCATTAAAAAATTGTCTGTCAAACAGTCAACTATTAATACTTCTTAAATTAGTTAAAGAAGGTTAAGTTAAAAAAAAGTCCTTATAGTCAATACACTCCTGAAAGTGAAAGAGTTGTTTTGGGTTTCATCGTTCTACTGTGGCACAGCACTGAAAGAGTCAAACTTTTTCAGTACATTAATTATTTTCATTTGGCAGAGCCAGTTATGTGATGCAGAGTCCACATTAGCAGTTATTGATTTGTGATGTTAGGATTTTATGGCTGAGATAGGAACACTGTTAGGAAGCATTACAGAAGTTGGGACTATAGACTGCTTAATGCTATGTGTCCTTGTGTTTACTATGAACTTGCAGCATAATTCTAACCTGTGTGAACCTGGGTAAAAATTGTCCAAAAATATTAAAGTTTTCTCAGGCCTATCTAACAGATAAGTTTAAAAATGAAATTCTTCAAAATAACTGTTGCCTTGGAGTGCCACTGGGCTCAATACTGGGCCCAGTATATTCAGGTCAGTATAATTTACTCACACAAGGAATCATGAATCACTTCTGCCTCACTCACATGATGCCAGTTATAACTGTTACATAGACAACAGACTTGAAAACCGATTTAATAAATAGCTACAGTATCTTTAGGTTCGTTCAGATGTCAAGGGTGATTATGTTTGTTGTTTGTTTTTACTTAGCCAATGGTCTGTATATTTCTTTAACAATTAACTAATGTAGAAAATAGTCAATTACCAGACTAATTGCTACCCTTCTGTTAGTTTTATTCAATTTTTTAAAATCTATATTACTGCATTTTTCTTTGTATAATACACAAAAACTCAAAAACTATCTCTCTGTGTGTGCATGTGCATATGTCTGTGTTTTTTTGGTCACCACCTAATCTGACACGATCAAGAGCTGAACAGCCAAACCTGACTTACAGGTAAAACTTATCATGTTACCTAGCAACTACCTAGCCACATATATAGATAGTATAAAATACGGATGTAGCTTCTAGGATAAAAAAAAGAAGCATATTTTGCAGAAGTGCTTTAAGCCAATTTCTGATCTGAATGCCACCAGATGGCGATATATGTGGCTGCAAAAGACTTAGTCCTATAGTAGTCTATGGGAAAACTTCTATCTTGACCTGTGTAAAAACTTCCTGGTTCACTTTTTGGGCTCAGTCACTCATTATGGTCATATTGAATTTAAAAAAAAGTAAATCTTATTCAGACAGGGTTTCAAAATGGAGGATTATCTATTTATCTGTGAAGTTGTACAATCATTGGCTAAAAATTTGTCAATCATGCCATTACACATTTTTATATGTGGACCCACAGTCACACCCACTTTAATGTCCCTATAGCATCATATGAAAGCATATGGAAAGAATATGGAAAGTTAAGCCTTTTGCTCTCATAGTACATGTGCCCTTAAACAACATCTTGTATAAACATTCTTCTTCTCTTTTATGCAATTATTATCTTAAACTAATATCACTGATGTCTTACCGGGAAGAGAACCACAGGAACAGTCAGAGTTACAGCTACAAGCACAGCCAGGCGTACACAGAGGATCAAGACATCCAGTGGGTCCACGCGAATATAGGTGTGTAACAGCTCTGACTCCACAGCGCCTAGACACAGAGAAGCAGACAGCCTTTTATATACAGTATCTTGCGTGGTTTCCTTCTTTCACAATACTGTAAGTTAAATCTCACAACACTTCAAAGCAGAATAACAAAGTGACCATTCACTTGTATAGCCATGAAAGGTCACATCTTACCATAAAAAGTGAGGTAACCAAAAAGAGCTGTCAGCAGATACATGACAAACATGGCCAGGATGGAGATGTTAGCAACATTCTGCATGCGTTTCTTGGTGGCACTAGAGTAAAGCAAAACCGATAAATTACAATAATTTGTCTTGAAAACTTACAGTGTGAAGCAGTAAAAAAATAAAAAATAAAAACTTACTTTCGGAGCTCAGTGTAGATTGGTAGCACTTCTGGGTGGCAGACAAAGGCAAAAGCCAAAATTGGGATGGTGTATGCCGTCTACAGCCAAAACACAGCAAAGGTCAGTAACACAGTTATGGTTGCTATATTCTTAACGCTGCTGTTGACATAACACACCTTAGTTTCGTTGACTTAATACACTCCGGTGCAAAAAATATAACGTGCTGTGCAAATCATTAAATAAAAATACACATGACACAGCAGGAAACTAGGCACAGGCACCGTGAAAATGTTTGTTCACTAACCTGTGGGTTCATGGTAAATAGCTTGGAATCACAGAAGCCATCTGCTGTAGAATCAACACTGTAATGCTCAGCAGCAGTTTTGTTATGATGATCATCTGCCAGTGGACATGGGATGTTGAATTTCTTGTATATCACCTGGGGAGACATGCTCATAGCTTAATCAAAGATAAATATTTAACAGAAGCGCGGTGGGTTATATTGTATGTATCTTTAATGTCTCACCGAAATGAGAAAAAACACCATACAGGAGAGCGAGAAACCGCTGGTATAGCCAAGGTAACCTGGATCGCAATAACAGCACAATGTTAACGTTATTCATGGTCTTAGACAGTAGAGAGAGAAAAGGAGGCAATAATGTCACTTTAATTTAATCAATGCAGGATATGAAAACAAGGCAGAACAAAGGATAGTGTAAACATGATGCAAGTAGGGGAAGATGAGTAGTAATACTAATAATTGCAAAAAAAGAAAAAGAAAATGTGCAACAGAATGAAAAACATACCAAGGTGTTTCATGAGTGCTAGAGGAAAGATGATGAGAACACTAACTATGATGATCAAGTAGTTTCCATTCAAGAACCACTCTCTAAGAGACAGCCAAAAGAACAGATGTCAAAAAAAAAAATTAGTGTGTTCCTAAACAAAAATGAAACTGATTTATGTGACTCTAAGTTAGAAAATTGCTTTCACACTCACCCAGTGTTCTCCTGTTTACCGAAGAAAGCTTGAATAACCAGTGGGAGCTCAGACTTTACGATGAAGAGATAGCTTGACATAGCTGAAAAGAAACCAAAACAAACGTATTTTGCGTTCATATTTATATTTACCGGTATATATAGTTTTATGACCGGCGTCAGAGGTAAAGGAAATGGAAGGAAAATTTACGACATTACCTCCAATGTTATGTACTGTTATGATGACAGCAGCCAGCATTTTCCCTGGGTGGCCAAAAGCCCGATTTCCAAGCTGCTCATAAGCCCGGATGCCTGAAAACACATAAACTCTGTGTATGCGTTCAAGCTATCAACATACAAATTGCTCTGTGGCTACATGCTTGGTAATTCTCTGCCTTACCCACAACTCCAGCACTTTTTAGCAGAAGATGAATTGAATATGCGGACAGAAGAGCAATGCAGACCAACAGGATTCTGAAACACATAAGACATTTACATTCTTTTAAAAAAAACATATTCACAAAACTATTCTGTTACTCTGAAGTTCTTGTGATTGTTGTCATTTTGTTTTTTAGTTGTTGTTTTTTCCCCACTCACACAAGAGAGTTTGGCTTTGAGAGACTGACTCTCCAGTCAGCCGTTACCTCCCTTCCCCCTGCCACATAGCACAGGTCTGATCCAACCAGGCGTGTCTTGGATCTGATCAGTGGGGTCTATATTTAACCACTCAAGTCTGATTTAGAGAAGCCGCATGTGCATGAGCTCTAATGTACAATCTGACAGATCACAGTTTGCACATTAGAAGTTGTATGTAGCTGTTGATGTACACCGATAGGTCACGGACAGAAACATCAGTTATCCCCTTGCCATCACACAAACCTGCCCAAACACAAATAAACACAAAGAACAAGATGATACACACTGGTGAGGCTCTACTTTTGGCCTTATAAGGACCCTCTATTAAATATATCCCATCTGTATCTACTATTGCAAACTGTGACCTTATAGTGAAAGACAAACACAGTTTAAATAGAAAACAAAGAAACCATTCTCTAGAGAAAAGGAACAAAAATGATCTTTAAAATAAGAGAAAAGCAAAGACCGTTAGCTTCTAAGAAAAACTATTAACTCTCAGTCCTAAACAAAACGACTTCAGTTTGCAGAAACCTTAGCTGTGTCAGTCTATAGTTTATATGCCCAAATGCTCACATGATAAACAGCCCTGCTGTAGCCTCTAGGAGAGCACACATTCTACTTTACCCAGTTACTAAATATAAATCACAAGAAGCTGAAATCAATCTGCTGTAATTCAGTTTGCAAAAAAAAAAAGACACAATTTCAGCACATCAGTGTGAGCAAATACATTCTCCTATATGAGTGGAAACACACACACACACACACACACACACACACACACACACACACACACACACACACACACGCAGGCATGCATAGTGACAAAGGGTACAAAGTTCAGCGAAAACTGGGGTTTTCTGTTTGGCTTGGAGACTCACATAAAAAGCAAGATCCCTGTGTTGGACATTGCATAAGCCAGTCCCAGGATCCCACTGCCCATTATGGCATTACTGAGGTTAAAGATGGACATGCCAAACGAAGTCTTTCCCTCGAACTGCAGCAAGAGGACAACAGAGGATGCCATTTGAGTTCACAGATAGAAATTACATAGTATTTACTGTATTTTAGTTTACTAAAACAAAGAAGCACTCACATCTGTAAAGTGGGTTTCTTTCTTTGCACCAGGTTTATGTGGGAGAAACTCCTCCTGCTCGGCCAAGGCATCGATTGGATCAAACCTGCAACCAAAGATTAAAAGTGAGCTAAAACTAGGAAGTAGAATGAGCTTAAAAAGCTGTAAAACACTCACATTTGGTAGACGAAATTTAGAACGTCCCTGAGTTTAATTTTGACCCGATTGGTGTGATAAGATACACCCAATCAGTCCCTAAGTCTTACCCATCGTCTTTGCTGTGTCCGTTCATCTTCTGAAGCTCCATTTTGGTTGGGTTGGTTGATGCAATTGCTGAAATAAAAAAAGAGCAGTTTTCAGACTTTTAAATAGACATATTCACATAAAAAGTATTTGCCTAAATTTGGAAATATTCATGCTAGCAGAGGGTATGATGACAACTCTAGTTGTTTTTACTCTGCATACATAACATTCCAACATGGTCCATGCACCAGGCTTCTCAACTTTCCATTATTTATGAAAAAACAAAAATGTGCAGGTTGACCTCATCGTGTGCTTTTGTACATTGCGTCTTATACATTTTCTATGATATATGTTGAAGTTGTTAGATTTAATTCTGGCTTCCTAAAGCAGACTTTGTTGGTGTTGTTTAATTGTATGGTCGTTTTCTGGAGGGAAGATATGGTTCCCTCCAGAAGATGCCAGAGATCAGTAATATCTTCCCCACTCGCTGTCTGAGGAGGGTGCACAGTATCCTGCGGGACCAACATCACCCTGCGCGCCACCTTTTCCATCTGCTGCCCTCAGGGAGAAGGTACAGGTCTATACAGGCCAGAACATCCAGACTGGCCAACAGCCTGTATCCACAGGCTGTGAGGCTCCTGAACTCTCTGCCCCCCTCTCACGGACAATAACCATATCCAACTTCTTAATAGCAATGAACTGGTCTGCATTGGTGCATCATATCTTTATTCTCTTCCCCCTCCTGCCCCCCCCCCTCTTTCTTAAATAGATAACTATCATATCTGATATCATATCTCACAGTACAATAATATTGAATGGGTTGCATTGTTGTATTTTGTCATGTTTCTCAGGTCTTTGTCTGAATTTCTACGAACATTATTGCTAAGGATTGTCTTATTGCATTGGAGTCACACTGGGTTAAATATGTACACTTGGGTTTTAAGGGGTATTTATTATTTTCTTCTTTTTTTTGGGTTGTATGGAAGCCCCAAACGCAATTTCATTGTTCTTGACAATGACAATAAATAAATAAATACTAAATACTAAATACTTCCTTAAAAAAAACCCAAAAAACCCCCAAAAATAACTGAGAATGAAGGAGTTGCTTGGGAATGTACTTTTAAAGAGAAACGACTAGATTGTTGTTCTTGCAAAGGACAAGAAAAACTTAACAAAAATCCTTGTAAACTCTTAATTTGAAGTTCTCCTTCCTACATAATATATATAGATAAAGTATAAATGACAGCTAAGTTGATTCACAAAATAAAATTCCCGGGAAACTGGCGGTTTCACGTAGGGCGCCATTCAATTTTATCCTTGTGTGTAATTAAAGGCTTTAAATAACAAATGTTGTTGTAGGACTTATGTTGCTCTAATCTGCCATGAGCCACACAAAGCTGGCATGGAGACACTGCACTGGAAATTAGCGTAGGTCTGTGCTCCTGCCACAGGGTCATGAGATACTTCTCTCTTTCAGCCAAACTGCCCTCAGGGTTTTCACATCTGACCCCTAAGGTCAGTCTTGCGCTACATTTTGCCATTCCTTAAGAGTTTCACACAAAACTGGAATTTCACATGTCCTACGCTCTGCACTGAAAAGGCCTGTAAACGTGTAATAAACCATACACCTCTGAGCTTGATAGCAGTGGGCAACTGAGATAAACAAAGGACTGCTGTGTAAATGGCGCTTTTTAGTCTAAATACAGAGTAGCTCTTTCCCTGCTCATTGGCCTCAAGTCAGCTTTGGTTTGAGCAACTTTCTTTAGCCACATACCCACTAACTTTCCCATGGCCCATAGCCAACACACACAACCAACAAACCAACGACTAAATGTCAGGGACAGGCTTTCAAATGGTGGGGGAAACCAGCTGTTCAATTTCTGGTATCTTCCCTTAACAAAAATTTGTCTAAATTAGTTCATGACTTACCACAAAAATACATTTTTAACTCAAAATTTAAAGACTTTTTTTTTAAGTTGCAACAAGCCTTGTTGCAAAAGAGTGTGTGAAACCCAGCGCACCAGCTGCTTGTTCAACATTTTAGTTTTCACTGGCCCTCAGAGCAGCTTTTCCACAGAGTGGGGAAAAAGCTTATAACAAGAAAAAAATACTTCTGAGTTTTTTGTCCTAATTTTTATTTTACACCCAAGCTTCTCCTCTGCAGGGAGTTCATCTTTTAGTAATTACTAAATATGTTTAACTGATACATGAACCCATCTATGGACAACCTTTATGATGAGAAAAATCAAAACATATCAGGTTAAACATGATCATACATATATATTACTGTATCTTAGTATCCAGCAGTGCTACCACATGGCTTTTGTCTGATGCAAGACCAGCTCACTATTGACAGTTAGCCCTTCCCTTCTGTACAAGGAACTCACTTAAAGGACACGCATTTGTGCTCCAACTCACCCTTGCGATTCCCACAGAAAGCTAGGTTTCTTTTCTGAATATTAACAGAATAAATCCTTGTGTAGATTCATTCAATTTTCAGACTTCTAGTGGTTCTATGTAGCTTTGTTCTTAGGAGTCTCACCAAATCTTCTTGATAGTAAGGAGAGGAGAGAGTGAGAGAGATTAGTCAGGCTGGGAGGGAGAGCTGCAGGAAATGGGAACACCCATACTTAACCCTTTGTTAAACCAGCAACACAGGTACTGCTGACGTTGGAGAGGCTTTGTAGGGATCCTCTCACCAGGTGGTTGCAGTGGAAAGGTGTGAACAATAGTGGGTATAGCAAGGCAATAAATCACATGTGAATTTCACAGAAAGTCAGTACTTCAAACCTTCCACTAATCCCACATACTCATTATTCAGAAGGGCTTCTGGTCTTTAAACAAAAGCTCAGCCGTGTTATTGCAGAGTATGCAAGCAGAAAGGTGGGTGTCATCTCTGATGGGTTTTATTATAGCTTTAATAGATATTCACTAACAGTTTTCCTCCCCTCTGGAAGTCATGCAGATTGTAATTAGCTTAGGAGATAAGTGCTTATTTAAGACTGATCACATGTGGCGGTGCTTAAGAGTGGATTTGTTGTGTGTGCGCTTGATTGAAAACAAACCCTGAGACCTGAATTCAAGCGTTACCGGAAAAGAGCACGTCATTAAAACATGACACATTTACAGATCTTTCAAAGGTTCTCACACACTTCAAACACCTCAGAAAGGCGAATATTTTCATTTTGATCAATAACAGAAGACATCCCTGTCATTTATACATGTATGCAGTGATCAGCAAATTTACTGGATCACCACCAAATGGAAGGTTCATAAGAAAGCTAACCTAAACTAAAACGTAAAGACAAATGTGTTTCTGTAATGTGTTAATCCACCTGTATGCACAAGCTCTAAGATCTAAATCATATATTTAATGCTAAAATTCCATTATTGCTGTTATTAGTGAATTTTCAAGCTGAAAAGTAGTATGCTTTTTTTTGTTGATTTTTATTTTTTATTTTAGTAAAAATGCCAAACTGCAGTTATTTATTCACATTCCCGAAGAGATAAAATTATGTGGTTTAATATTGCTTGCTTGGTTGATTAATTTCAGACTTTTCAGAGAAGTCCAATGTGCCGGCTCAAATTTGGGTATAAAAATGTGAATTCAGTTTGTTATATTCTTGATAAATAGCACTATAACTTCTTAGTTTTAAGGAGATTTTTGAGAGATTTCTAAAAAATGTTTTTATGACAGGCGGTCTAATACATTTGTTAAGCACTCTATGTCACCTAAATGAAGTAATGTAAACATATTTTGAATGTGGTCTAGGTGTTAGAAATGTCATCTCCTAAGAACTGTTTCAGTTGGTTGATAAGATTCAATGTAACTGGCAGCTTTACACGAAGAAACACCCACATTTCTTTATCTCACCATGACACACACACATGTTGGAACATATCTGTTATATAAGTTCATATCTTCTGATGATGCACACTGCTTTTTTTTAACATCTCTGAATGACTTGTTTTTTGCATATTAAGAAAGCTGGATAAAACAGACAAGGTCACTACTTTTTAGAGTAAAGAGCGGGTTAGAAGATCAGAACAGTAAACGAAAGCAATGAATTTGCGTACAAATACAGTGAGTGTTATCTTTGTAGTGAACAGAGCAACTACTATATTTGATGTAGAAAATGCTCCGTGAGGTGACATTCTGTGCTGGTAAAATCATGCCCTGACCATTTAACTTTGTTTCTTGGGACAAAAAGTCAAGCAAGCATCTGCAGCCGAGATGATCTCTCATTTCATCTAGTCATTTAAATTTCCTCTGTGCTGTGACAACGACCAACATGTGCGCAGATGACAATAGAGATACAACCTATAAGGGTTAAAGCAGAAATGTGCAAATGTTATTTGTTTTCTTGTTTCTGTAATGAATACTAATAGTCACCAGTAGCTATAACAGCAATTTGCTAGACATCTTTTGCCGTCTTGGAATGGGAAGTCGTGCAGCTCACGTCTCCAGTCTTTGTACTCACCTAATTACAGTTAGAAGGAAGATGAATGTATTCTGTCCAGAAAAAAGTAACAGGATAAAAGTTCAAACTTCCTTGGTTCAAGTCCAAAAGCAGCTTTTCACAAGGTCATGAGCTCCTCTTTGGCTCTAAGAGCAGAGGGGGGAAAAAAAATGGGGGAAGGAGCAACATTGCAAATGCGCGCGTAAAGAAATTTCCTCTTCTCAGGAGCCAAGGCACTCCCACACTGATCAGGGTATGTGCTGTTACTTTATGGAGCATTTGGACATTGATACTTTCTGTTCTACTTCTTTTTTGAAGTAATATTTCTACTGTGAACCCTAAAACTGATTGGTAAAAATACATCTGATACCAACTCCACTTCCTGGCCTGCATAACAGTTGTTGTAATACGGTCATGCAGCTGGTAGTGTGAATAACACGTGCTTCTGTGGAAAGTTACATTTCATTTCAGCAATGCATCTACTCACTACTGTTGCCATCTAGTGGGTAAAAACATATTTTTTAATGTTAGGAGAGTCAAGAGTCAGGGGAAAGTAAAGAGATCTGGAGAACATGCAAACTTCACACAGAAGAAATTTGAATCCAGGACCTTCTTGCTGTGAGGTAACAGTGCTAACCACCAACCTAAGTGCACAAAAAAATTATAACTAACATCTTAAAAACGCATACATATTATGTGACACAGAAACTAAAATGGTGTTTATACACAGGCCTGTCGGACTACGACTTTCATCTTTCATTAATTAATACAAAAAGGTAAAAGGTCCTTTAGCCCAAAGGTAATGTGCTCTAATAGTTTGTTTGGTGCAACAAACTGTAAAAAACAAAAAAACAAAACAAAAAGCAGTAGCAGAACTATTTTTGTAATAATATATAAAGAAGGAAAGTTAATAATCCTGAAATTGTTGAAGCTGAAGCTTAAAAAAAAGCAACAAACCCAGCCATGAGAAGCCATAAGCCAGAGTCAGCACACCCATCGTGCCAGTCCCAAGCCTGGATAAGTGGGAAGGGCTGCGTCAGGAAGGGCATCCAGCGTAAGAGTTTTGCCATACCCAAGATGTGGATCATCAATAAGACTTCCACAACATTACCATAACAGTGCTGTTGACCAGCGGGTGCCAATGGCCAAAGATAGAAGAGTGTGGGGGAAGGAGTGTTCAGAGATAGCAAGAGAGACATAGGACTGTGGTGTTAGAAGAGCTTGTTAGGAATAGGGTGAGATGGAGGCAAAAGACCCAGCCTAAAAGGAAGAAAACATCTAATTACCCCAAATGTTTCACTAACCAAGTGAATGTGAATAAGCAGAACCTTTAATCAACAAATCTAATCTGCTCACTTATTTCAGCGTTTAGAACAAATGGAACCAAATTCAAAGTAATATAAAACTACTGTGTTTTATTATTTTGATATGAAAAAGAAAAATACAACAACTACAACATACAACTATGACAAATGTTAAAACAATTGTTGCTGAAACTGATGGACCTTAATGTAAACATGTCACTTTGCTTTGTCAACCCATGCAAAGAAATTGCATCGAGCCTCAGGGTTGGACACATGTCCCTGAGGACGTGCACACACAAAAAACTGTTTGCCCATGTTTGGCCCCTCCTTTTTTACAGTACGAAGAACACATGGTTCTTCGTGGACCTTACAGCACGGTGGGGCAGGTGGTCCACGAAGCACCGACTTCCAAAACACTGACGATGTCCCTTTCTTTGCATCTGACTGCGTCACAGTGGGCTGAGGGATTGAATGTTCTGTGTTCATATGTTGGTCAGTATCAGCTGTGGAGCACTGCTGTGATGAACCGTCAGAGATAAGCTCAGGACCTTCAGATTTGGTGTCTGCGACAGAGAACACTTCTTCAGTTATGGGTGGTTTGGCAGCTTCATCCAGATTTAGTGGTTTTTCACACTGGTTAACGTTTTTGGTTTTAAAAAAGGCAAGGAGGTTGCCCTTAGGCTTTGAAGAAGCATTTACCATCTTAGTCTTTTTTCCCTTTGGGGCAACCAAGTCAGATGTCAATGAACGTTTTTTAACAGAGATGTTTGCAGCTCCAGAAGGATTTAAATTTTCTCTCCTTTCCTCCTCTTCTTGAGAACCAGGCAAAGTATTTTTCTGCTCAGATTGGGCTGATTTTTGGTCCACCTTAACGAGGAAGCGTGAGAGTTTCTGCTGTTTACCTGCAAACTCTGGCAGGTAGCGAGTACAGAAGGGGGGAGGCTTTGGGCTAGAAATGAGTGAACAGCTCAGCTGCCCCCAGACAGGGCAGTGGTCTGAACCCTCCACCTCTGGCATGATGTCGGCTCCCACGAACTGCTCCTTGGCAAGCTGGCAGTCAGCAAATATGTAGTCAATGCGTGTTCCATAGTTGGTCTGCCGAGCTCCAGTGAGAGTAGACCAGCATGTAAAGGCGTTGATGCGAGTTGGGTGGAAAAAGCGAAAGGTATCCACAAATTTCCCACCGTGGAGTGGATCTGTTTCTTCGCATTCTTTGTCATGTTCCTCCTCATCGCTCCCTTCTTCCTGTTTGTCACTGTACAAAAAGCCATTCAGCCATTTCCTCCCAGGGTTTTCGCCAAAATCATCCTAAATAATGAAAGTTTCATTATTATGGATAATAATGTAGGAACATCTGTCATTTTATGTAATATTATTTCAATCCTCTACATTAAGGTCACTTGTTGATCATTGCTTTCTTGCTGAGACAGATTCCACTCCTGTGTCTGTTCATTAAATAGGAAGCTGTAGGTAGAAGTCATTTTTCATGTAGCATATAAGGTTTGGGGGAGGGGTTTCCCCACTTCCTGTTTTTGTGTAATTTAATACAGTAATGAAAATGTAAACCCCATGAAATAATAGCAACAGAACCACCTTTGGCAGCAGTAACTTGAAATAATCCTTTCATGTATGGCTTTATTAGTCTCTCACATTGCTGTAGAGGAATTTTGGCCCACTCATATTTACAGTATTGCTTTAATTCATTGAGGTTTGTGAGGATTCATTCATGCAGAGCTGTGTTAAAAATCACACCACAGCAATTAAATTAGGTTGAGATCTGGACTTTGGGCCACTGAAATGGCTCAATTTTCTTTCTTTTTCAGCCATTATGTTGTAAATTTGTTGCTATGCTTGGGATCACAGCCCTGTTACATGCCCCAATTTCTGCCAAGCTTTCGCTGTCAGATGTGTGGCCTTGCATTTGACTCTGGCATACACTGGTATAGAGGGGAGTTCATGGCAACTCAATGACAGGTGCACAGATTCTATGGCTGCTAAAAAGCCCAAATCATCACCCCTCCACCACCACACTGATGACAGCTGGCGTGAGGTGTTTTTGCTGATATGCTGTATTTGGTTTTCTCCACATATGGTGCTGAAGGACACGTTTCAGAAGCCTTATACTTTGTTCAGAACTATTACATAAACCCATGTTATGCTGTTAAGTTGGTTTTTTTTAGAGAGAGAATAGGATTTCTCTTGTAAACTTCCAAAAAAGACACACTTGTTCAGTCTTCTTCTAATTCTATTGTCAAGAATTTTAACAACCCAACTAAAGCCTGTAGAGTGTCGCTCATGGGTTTTTACAAATTCTTTGAGCTTTACAAGCGATTGAATTTACTGGAATGGCCATTCCTGGGAAACCTGAGCCATTGTGTAAACACCTGAAGGCCCCAGACGAAACAATTTTCCACAATATGTGCTTTGATAGAGCAGGACGAACCTTCTGATTAATCATTGTTCAAGAAGCTGGCTGCTATTCCCCCTCTTAAATCCTATGGAAGCAGTAAGGCTGTTCTTAGTTTTTCACAGGATTCTAGATATTTAAAAAGTCTATATACTACTATATACATGCATGTAGAGTGTGCGGTGTCGCTCATATATACATATACACATATTATATGTGTGTGTATGTATGTGTATATATATATATATATATATATATATATACACATACATATATACATATATACATATACACACACACACACACACACATATATATATATATATACACACACACATATATATATATATATATATATATATATATATATATATATATATATATATATATATATATATATATGTGTATACATGTATGTATGTATATACATACATATAATATGTGTGTGTGTGTGTGTGTATATATGTGTGTATATGATATATATATATATATATATATATATATATATATATATATATATATATACATATATATATACATGTATATATATACGTGTGTACATATGCATATATATATGTATACACACACACATATATATACACACACACACACACATATATATATACACACACATACACATATATATATATATATATAATAATGGATTGGATTTATATAGCGCTTTTTAAGGCACCCAAAGCGCTTTACAATTCCACTATTCATTCACTCTCACATTCACACACTGGTGGAGGCAGCTACAGTTGTAGCCACAGCTGCCCTGGGGCAGACTGACAGAAGCGAGGCTGCCATATCGCGCCATCATATCGCGACCAGTAGGCGGGAGGGTAAAGTGTCTTGCCCAAGGACACAACGACCAGGACAGAGAGCCCGGGATTGAACCGGCGACCTTCCGGTTACAGATGCGCCCTCTGAGCCCCGGTCGCCCCGCCGAAAATATACATATTATATATATATATATATATATATATATATATATATATATATATATATATATATATATATATATATATATATATATATATATATATATCTATCTATCTATCTATCTATCTATCTATCTATCTATACACACACACACACACACACACACACATATATATACATATACACACGCACATATATATACACATACACATATATGTTATATTGGTATTTTACTTACAATTTCACTAGGGTCACAGTGATCTATTGGTCTATGAGATGTATTTATGTCTCCTAAAACAATCACATGGCTGGAAAACAGAACATAAAAAAGCTTAACTCATTA